AGACAATCTTGTATTTTGTCACGAAATTAAGGACTCATGAAAGAAATGGGACTTTCTAAATATATTGGCGCCTATTTATTGACAGTTCAAAACGAAGTTTAAAATGTGTCCTTCTACATAATGGGAATAAATATGGTTCAATACCACTAGCTCACTCAACGAAACTGAAAGAAGAATATACAGTGATGTGAATAAAACGTAGCATCTATGTGGTAGAATCTAGGATCCAGTGATAGCGTCAACTAAAATCGACGTCATTAAATAGATGCTAACACTAGGTAGTAGTTACTACTTGTGATTAAGTGCTAACCGGAAAAATTGGAGATACAACTATATTCTAGTTATAACTAAGGAGTAGCAGTAACTGAAATTTACGTTACTTGTTAAACTTATCCTCTCCTTCGGCGCTGTCAGAGTTGTTTACTCCCGCAGCACGTGGTCGGACTTGTTTTGTCTTGTATTCTTTTAGTTAGTTGATTGTTGTTTTTATTCTGACAAACATGTCGTCTTCTGAGAGTGAAGATGAGTTTGAAAAGAAGAATGTGGACCGAGATTTGTTTGTGAAATTAATTAGCGAACATCCAGTGCTACTGGAAAAATCTAGAATTCTAAAATTTGTTCAACATAAAAAGGAATCATGGGAAATAGTCTGTAAAGAATATTCTCAAGTAAATGGAATCGATGTTACCCCATCACAATTAAATAAAATGTTACAAAACATGAAAGCTGTAATTAAAAAGAAAACTGATACTAAAGCTACAGGAAACAAGAAAATAAAATTGAAAGATTGGGAGAAACAATTTTTGGCATTATTGGGTGCAGAAGAAAAGAATCCTGTTCTCACTAAAGTTCCAGGAGCAGTGACGTTAGGAAAATCATCAAAAAATATGACGGTTTCAAGCATAACATTAGTGGGGATGCCCATACTTCAAGTTCTTCACCTCAAATATCTGAAAATAGTAATATAAAAGCAGATAAACCTAGCTATGTAAGACGAGGCATTAAAATTATGACTACATTTGAAACTGAAGAAACGAGAGATCTGTCAACATCTCAGCTGCAGAGAGTCGTTCTCTTACAACAATTTCAGCTGCAGAAAATTCAAAAGAAAAAAGAACAAAAAGAACTTGAGTTACTTGAAAAAAGAACACCAAAGACAGTAAAGTACAGACAGATGCAGTTATTGTTCTTAAATTAGTTCTATAAAATATTCGATGCGTTGCGGCGATAGATCAAACCAGAGGCCTTGGGAGCCGCTCTTCCCTATATCTCATGAAAATACTTATTTGTTTACATTTATAGTTAATTATAATAAATTTTTACATTTTTTTGAGTTTTATTGTATAATAATTTAGAATTTAAATACAAATTAGCATCATATCTCGCTTCTGTTCACCACGGCGCTTTGTTGCATTGTTCTTATGTATATAACCGTCAACTCCCTCTTCTAATCCATCGTGATCTTCTTCATCTACTAGTTCCTCAAAGTCAAATTGGTCCTTGAGATGTTTCACGACATTGTGGAGTACTGCACAGCTTGCTACAAGCTTAGGTACTCTCTCCAGTGATACTCGCACACAGTTGTCTAAGATGGAGAACCTTTTTTTTAGCTGACCAAATACTCTTTCTATTATGACTCTTTCTGAAACGTGTTTGCGATTGAATCTTCTTTCAATAGCAGTTTGAGCTGGCTTGAAAGGCGTAATAAGCCATGGAGCTATACCGTAGCCGGAATCACCAAGCAAACGAGCTCTACCGTCATACCACATACTTTGATTACTATACGAGGCAAGAGAGAGGTCCGACACGCCCAACATAGGGCGCGGCCATTTTGAACCCTGTGACACAGTTTACAGCTAAAGAATCAGATCGCTCACTCTGCGTCGGCACTTTGGATCTCAATGTTTCAGTTTATACACTGTGCAACTCGGATAATATAATATATGACAACCGCCTATAATAAAACAGCAGTCTTCTGCGTATCCTGAATTTGTATGCCTGGAGTGGATGTTATTTTGGAACTTTCAACTGGTCCGAGTGAGCTAACTGATTCTTTAGCAATAAACTGTGACTTCAAAAATAATAATTTACTGACACTGACAGCAGCAAGCAAAATATCAGGTGCGTTTTAATCATCCGCTTCTGCTTCCGGAATTGTCGGTTTAGTCGTTTTAACCTGTCAAATTAAAACAAGAAAACTGACAATTCCGAAGCAGAAGCGGATGATTAAAACGCACCTATTAAAAATATTGCGCCAAGATGTAGGCAACACGTAATAAGGGTTCAAAATGGCGGAGTTTTTTATCTCCTTTTAAAAGGCACTCAAAAAGCTGCGCAGTGCGACCATTCTCCGTATAGTAAAAGAAAATCAAAGTATGTGCGTCATACTGAGAAATGATGTCACGAATTTCACTACGCCGCCATATTCTCGAATCATGTACTGATCCTGGCCAATCCGCGTAAATGCTTATAACCCTTTCTTGTGTATCACACGTTGCTTGAACATTAATACTGGGGTAATCTTTCCGATTAATGTACTCATCACCAAAAGCAAAAGGCTTTTTTATCTGTACATGTGTACAATCTAACGCTCCCACAACGTTTGGTAAATCAAATCGTGTCTGCCATAACAATTTTGCATTGTTTATCTCTTGAACTGTGTTAGGGAAAAGCATTAATTATGTGCTTTTTCCAGAATATGATCCATAACACAGTTTTTACTTTTACTCACTGATGAGCGTTCCACTCCAAAATCTTCAGATACTCCACTCTGAAAACCAGGGTCAGCAACGTAGCGTAAAAACATTTCCATGCGATTTCTTGGAGTCAGAGCTTTTCCTCGAGTTTCATTACTGTCTGGCAAGAATTCTGTTGTTAAAACATCGCCATGGTAAGGATATTTACGAATAACAAAAATCTAAGTGTGGTCTCGTTTAGACTTACAAATTGTCAAGTTGCAACTGCAATAAATTAGTAGTGTTTGCGCTTCATTCACAGTAAAAATGTAGTTATAACTACAAAACCGAAAAAATTTTAGTTGTAACTAGAGAGCCACCTTTTATTCACATCAGGTGAAGTTAACCGTAGCTTTGGTCTTGCAGAAGATAAAGTATCACGAACATCAATGGATGATTTGTGTAGACTTAAAAATGGTAAATTTTCTTCTTGGGCAGCAAAGTGGTTACACGAAATATCCGTGTTTCTTGTGCCTCTGGGATAGTAGGGACAAAACAGACCACTGGGTTAGAAAAGATTGGCCTCAAAGAGAAAACATGGACGTTGGGGAAAAGAATGTCATTAACGACGCTTTGGTTGAAAGAGAAAAAATCATACTCCCTCCGTTACATATAAAGTTGGGCTTAATGAAGCAATTTGTAAAGGCTTTTGATAAGAATGGGTCATGTTTTGCATATACCGGGTGTTCAAATTAAAGTGTTACAGTTAAATACCGCCGAAAATATGCATTTTAGAAAAAAAAGTTTCAGAAAAAGTTTTATAGTTTTTTGGGGGAAACATTTTGGCCAAATTTATTTTTTTATAGCTGACAATAATATGGCCATATCGAGGTGGACTTTGTTTTTTTAAATGGGAATCCCATTCTTAAAGTACATAAAAAAATAAGAAACTTTTGATGAAAATATTTTTTTTATTGGACTTTTACTTTTTGAGTAACAGCTACTTGAAAATTTTGCTAGGCGAAAAAAAAGTTGACCATATTATGGTTAGCTATAAAAAACGATTTTAGCCAAAACATTTTCCCTACAAAACTATAAAACTTTCGTCTGAAACGTTTTTTTTATAAAAGGCGGTATATAGCTGTAACACTTTAATTTGAACACCCGGTATAGGGGTAAAAATGCATCAGTTGAGCACAGAAAAACTCAAAGCAGGGATATTTGACGGCCCACAAATAAGACAATTAATTAAGGATCCTGCCTTCATAAATTTAATGAATCAAGTTGAACGAGAAGCTTGGACATCATTTGTTACAGTTGTAGAAAATTTTCTAGGCAAACATGAAGCTCAAAACTATGTTGAAATGGTTAAAAAAATGCTTAATAGATTCAAATGATTAAAAAATACACTATTTACACAACCACTTAGACTGTTTTCCAGAAAATTTAGGAGACTTGAGTGAGGAACAAGGTGAAATATTTCACCAAGATATTAAAGTTATGGAGGACCGCTACCAAGGAAGATGGGACATGTACATGATGGCAGATTGCTGCTGGAGTTTAAAAACGAACTGTTTAAATAAAATTCAAGAATGTTGCGGAAAAGAGGCTTTAGAAGTGTTGAGTGACTATTTGATTTCTTCAATGTTTTTTTTTTGTTTGTAAGTACGACATAATATTGTATTTTGTATAACTAAAATAAAAATTTCGTATCTACTACACTTACGGATTTGAGTTAAAATAATGTAACTTATATTTCTCTAAAATTGTATATCTTAAAAATTTGAGCTCCTAGGTAAAAATGAATACGTTATATGAATTCAAGACATCAAATTGATATAGATTCAGCTCAAAAAATCTCGACACCCAAACAGCTGTTCCCCTGTGTAATCTATAAAATTTACAAATTGTGGACCGATCCCATTTTGCTCTACACATCCCCAGTTTGCCTGATGAATGCTCCGTGCAGTGTTTCCCACTTCGATGCATTGTGGGCGGATTTGTCGCAATATTTCCCGAAACATCTCTACTCATCAAACTAACTCTCTTCCTAACTATTTAGAGATAAAAGAAATACAAAATTCACATTTGTGTATGTGAAGGGGATAGTTATAATAATTGTTTTATTATAGACTTAAAATCAAAATCATTCAATCTACGTTTTTCTAAAAGTAGCCAGAAAATAATATTTTTTGCTTTATACACCTACCTTCTAATTAGAAATTGTCAAATGTTACTTTATTTCAGAAATATTTAGGTTAAAAACATCGTGCAGAGGTTTAACGAGATCAGTAATTTTTTTAAATATTTGATATATCTTTTTACCTGGAGGTGGTGGGGGAGCTGGTGAAACTCCGGTTTGAGGCAAAGGAGTCCTTCTGACCAATCCTGCGTAAGGTGTTGGTAACCATTTTTCGTCGCTAGGATCAAAAATTTCTTCCTGGAAAAAATAATTATTTTATTAGAAAAAATGTGGCTGAACTTTCTCTGAAAAATCTTTAAAACATATTACTATGACCACATATTCTTTAGACCAAAATAAGCTGATTTAAGTAAACTTATCTTAGTGCAAAGTTTGTCATTTTGAATGCTACATTTTTTATATCGTTAGTATGGTTTTGGCAAAATTTATATTTCAATAATTTGAAGTGTAGGTTTCAGAAAAAATAGTACATTATATACCTAGGGTGAGAAGTGAGCTATTATTTACTGAGCACTTTTATATCCTGAGGCGCGTAGCGCCGAGGGATATAATGTGCGAGGTAAATAATAGCTTTCTCAGCCGAGGTATATATAGAATTTTTTTTACTACTAACATTAATGTATTAGCAATTTTAATTTTGACATAAGTAATTTCCTAACAATTTGTTAAATATTTCGAAATATCAAGCAGACTGGAGCGTGTTTCTAATCAGACTGGCTTTATTTATGTAAAAATTTGGCATGTGTCAAATTTTGGTATGATTCTAGGAAATATCCCATTGCATTTTTGATATTTTAATGACATGGATTTATTGTTATTAATTAATAATTTTTAAAGCCGGTGTTGAATTTCCTAGTTAATATATATTTTTACTATTAACACTGATATATTATCATATTTGATTTGATTAGATTTTAATAAACCCAGCTTTAGTTATTTCCTACTTATTTTTCAAATATTTCAAAATATCAAGTAGTCTGGGAGTTTAGTTGTCAAATTAACAAAATGAAACTAATGAAATTTAGTTTCATTATTTACCTAGGTTTTTTTTTATTATCATTATTTACCTAGGGAGAGAAATATTACTTCTCATTAGAGGAATGGAGTAAATAATGGTGATTTCTCATGTTAGTAGTAAAAAAAAATATTTACTGAACACATGAATAAAGATATAGATTTCATAAAAACTGTTCACCATTTTCATGCATACAAATATTTATACGATGAAAATAATAAAAGTGTACTCTTTGCGTATCTTTATCACCTTTAATTGATTCTTTTTAAGAACATGTACTTTTTTTCGGGGAATTAAAGTGTTTTGTTATAGGTATTAGCTAGTTTTTTGCTCGATTTTGAAACTGTACGGTTTTTTGAGGAATATTCATTATTGGGATGTACACAAAAATATTTGTTTCGTCTGAATAAAACGATTGACATTTTATTTATACCTCATCCCTCAATGCTTATTTCTAGTTAAAATGAAAATTTTAATACATCAGATCGGATAAAAGTTTTTGTTTAGATTTAATCATGTTTCCATGTTTTTTACTGTAATAAATCTGTTATTTTGACAGATAAGTCAGACTTTATTTATTCATAGCCGTATCGTATGTATTTTAATTGATTCGAAATTATGTATTAGTATATATTATAATTTTACAGTTATATAGGTAAGAATGGCGAGTGCATTAGAAAATATTGCAAGCACAAGAACACGTAAACGACCTAGTGAACATAAAGTACTTAATCAAATAGCCACTAAGTATGAGACCTATACTGGACAGTGTATAACATTATTAAAGAAGATACAGTTATTGGAGAAGTCTCACATGCGAAAAAGCCCCCAAGAAGCAATGGCGTGCGGTGAGATTTTTGGAAGGGGAAGCGATTGTATAAAAATATAGCACAGCGCCGCAAGCGAAAATTTTTCGCGGCTCATTCACCATTTTTTCAAAATGTTGCTTTTTTCCTCAGTACTACGGAAATTCGAGATTGAGATTTTTGAAGTGTTACTATTACTTTATTACCTAGTTTAGTACCAGAAGCTATAAAAAACTTACCATTGATGAAAAGCTTCCTTGGTTTATTTAAACGTAAATAAAAACTTTTAACTGAAGTTTTTTTATTTTTTCCAGCATTTTTCGCACAGTTGACACAGCAGTTGACATTTATTTATACTTAAGATCTATTCGCCTATTCTCAATGGCTGCAAATTTGTCTATAACATCGTCGTAAAATTTTGGATTTTCTGATAACTGTTTAACAAGGTGTTTTTCAATAGATATTAGGGCTAAATTAGAGAATCTGTCTTTACTTGTTGAGTTTCGTATAAAACTGTTAATGCGCTTTAAAGCTGAAAAACTTCGATCAACTTGTGGCTGGGATGGTTAGTACTAATTCACACAACTTGACGACTTTAAAAAGGGAATTATTTAAACCAGTTGTTATAAGAAAATTTTACACATTGATGGGCGTCTTTTTATCACTAATTTCAGTTGTTTCATAAACAACCCTTAACTGGGACTTTAATGATGGAATTTCGAAAAAAATTCCATAATTTAATTTTAGTGAATTAAAAGCTTCCGATGGAAATTTTGATGAATCGTAGTTACAACAAACTTTAATTCGTCAAAGTTTTGAAATGTTTTGAGTCTCATTCCAAAAGTGTTCAAACTGATCTCGTTTTTTATTCATTTTATTTTTAAAATCATCAATTTGTTTAATGCAAAAGCCAATGTCATTTGACTTTGTCTGTAAAATGTCGAATAAAATGTCAGTAAAAGGGAAAATCTCTGCAAAAATGTTGAGCAAAAAATTGAAATCAAAGTTTTGTTTGAGACAATGCAAATACCCTTTAACGGCAGTAACAGTTTCAGCATCTCTCTAATTATCCCAAACTTCTTGAAAAAGGTGTATCAAAGAATCACGGTATTGAAACACTGTTTGCACTAAACATCCATTTTAGATCCATCGCGTCGGAGCAACTTTTGGAAACCTTTTTGAACGTGAATGTCCAAAGCGCGAGTTCTTTTCAATGACTTTAAAAAGAAGGAAGCCAAACCACTAAGCGTCGAAAAGAAAACTTTGCAATCTTTAATATTATCCATGCTTCGCGATAAAACCAAATTAAGTCTATGTGCTATACAGTGAACGAAAATTGCATATTTAAACATAAAAATAACTGGTAAATTTCTTTGCTGACTTTTCTACTTTCGTCTCTAAATTGATAGGATCCATTAGTCTACTAGAATTAATAATGTTCGTTTTATATGTGTTATCCCCAAGAGCCACTCGTAAATTTTTTTCGAGGCTTGCATGCGAAAACGGGGCTCCTAAATCGGTCACTATCTGACGGTCTAAAGGAGCATTTCTGCCTTCTTGGGATTGTTAGACAGTGAATGGTCCTAGCACCACTGTTTTATAATTTTGAAAGCTACTTGCATTCTTTCGCAGAGTATGTTCTCAAGATTCCCTGTTTGCAGAATGACGAGGTCATCTGCATACGCTATTGTGTAGTGACTGTCATTATTGAGTTGGCTGATGAGGATGCCGAAGACCATGTTCAACAGTAGAGGTGATAGCACCCCTCCCTGTGGAGATCCCCTCGCAACCAAGTCCTCATATCTACATCTTCTACAGTTATGTTTACTGCTCGCTTTAAGAGCATGTTGTGTATCCACCCACTAACCATCTGTGGAACATTCCTATTGTTTAGTGGTTTTTTCTGGATTCAATTATACATTGTGAACGTAAATTGTTACTTTTGTACGGTAAACTATTTAAGAAAATTCTGAGACTAGATGATTTTTATTTCTGATGAAGCACATTTATACAATTAAAACTGTTCAAAACAAAGTAACTACCGCCTTGAAAATTTTAAATGACAACAGGGGTCGATTGAATGGGTTTTTAATTACTTACCTATTAAACGATTCAAATAATTTTAATTTAAAATTTTTGACTTAATTAAATTTAAAATTTTTAATAAACTAAAGGATGCCTCATCATAAATAAGAATTGACATTATTTTTCCGTATATAAAAAACGACGTGGAACTGCAATTCCTTATAGACTAAGGCGACCGCCAGAACTAAGTTATAGTATATGTGTGAACATTATAGTAGATAATAACATTAATAACGTTTGACTGTTATACATCTTGACTACGGATGTGTTTGGTAGATAACAGGTCCTCAAGGTAGCAAACAATGTCGGGCAAAATCGTTATAGTATAAAAACTGATTTTTTAATATGTTCAACTGGATGATGTTATACTCTTCAATCAACAATTGCCTGGCACTTTTCCCGAGGGGTTATGTCTGCCAGACGCTTAGAAGGTATTTAAATATTTTTTTGTTATAACTATAATTTTTTGGATGGTGATTGTGATTTTTTTCATATTCGCTGATAAATAATGATTTTTATCTAGTTTCAAGTAACTTTTTTTTTTGTTTTTAAAAGTAAGGATTCTTTACTCTTGAGCTCTATTCATATTTTTTACCTCCCTCATATATGGTTATTTTTTTAATATGTATGAAGTTTGTAGTATGTTTTAGGTCATGTACTAACTTTTATCGAGAATAACAGTTTCTGAGAAATTAACAATCAAAAAATTTTGTATAAGGTTCAGACGTTTTTCGATATATATAAAAATATCCTTTACGATAAACAAAAAAATTATTTTCTTTTTGACTTCACTGATAAACTCAACTAATATTCTCACTATGGTTTATGTGCACGAATATGAAATTTCAGATTTTAGTGGTACAAATTAGGTTACTTTCATTGCAGGAGTAACCATGGGCGTCGTTACACAATTCTATAGGAGGGGGGCAAAATTTGAAAAAATTTAGTATGTGTATTTATTGAAAAACAAAGAAAATGAAACATAAAAGAGAATTTTTTTACGATGGATTTAATTATTCTGTGACGTCATGGCTTACTTCCGGTTTTTCCAGAAATAACAGAAAATCGCAATTTATTTTTAATTTTTAAATGAAAACCCTCTTTCTTATTGAAACTTTGCATTTCTGGTACATTTTTGTATAAGAAGCGTGTATTGAAAATTTTTTCAGTAACATTTTAAGAAAAATATGTTCCAATATGATGATCATTTTGACAGCTGACAAAAAATTTTCAACACGTGATTCTTATCCATAAATGTCTCTAAAATTCAAATGTTCAATAAAAACGGGGGTTTCTATTTAAAAATTAAAAATAAATTGAGATTATGTTAT